CAAGTAATTGCCTGTGCTTCCTTTCCACTACACCATTTTGCTGTGGTGTGTAAGGACAACTTGTTTCATGAACTATTCCCTTTTGTCTAAAAAGGCTTTGCAATTCTTTACTTAGAAATTCTTGTCCATTGTCTGATCTCACCTTCTTGACTGTTGTTTCAAATTGTGTCTCTATCATTAAAATGAAATCACTCAGATATTTTGCAGCTTGTGATTTATGGGCCATCAGAAAAACCCAGACTGCCCTGCTGAAATCATCTACCACTGTCAAGAAGAAGGGTGTGGCTGTGAGTGATTCTTCCTTACAAGGTCCCCAGATATCCACATGAAATGTCTCAAAGCACCTATTTGCATGAATATAACTGTTTTGAAAGGGCAATCTGTGTTGCTTTGCTTTAAAACAAACTTCACATGACTGAACTTCTTTGCTTGTTGAATCTGTGAATTTTCCTTTAAGGAATGAGAAATGCTGCATTGTACTGTAACTAGCATGTCCCAGGCACTTGTGCCACATACCTAAAGAGAAATTGCATCCAAGAGCAGTATCTCTACACTTCACCATATCAGTGCCTTCAAGTACATATAAATTGCCCTTTGAAATCCCCTTACCAATCACACCTCCACTTTCTGAGTGTTGTAAGATGCATGCAGTTGAGGAGAAGGAACATTTTACCCTTTCATCAACACAAAGCTGACTCACTGAAAGAAGGTTATATTTGAACCCTGGGACAAACAAAACATTCCTCAACCTGAAAGTGTTAGTCACTGCAACTGTACCCTCAGTATCTACTTTCTTGTGTGAACCATCTGGTAGGCATATTGAAATAGGCTCCTTCAACAGCAGGATGTTGCTCATGATGTTAAAGTCACCACACATGTGCCTGCTGGCTCCAGTGTCTATAATCCATGCACCACCATTCAGGTTTTCAGCTATGGTCAAAGCAAAATGAACTCCATCTTCCTCCTTTTTGTGAGTGAAGCTTGCCATTTGAGCATAGTCTACCTGTCCATCCACATTTTCCTTTCCCTTTATATACTGAGTGATCTCTTGCAGCTGCTTCACCACAAGTGATAAATCATTATCTGTTGAATTCTTTCTTTCTGGCATTTGCCCTCCCCACTGTCCTTCATCCTCATAGACTTCAGCATTGTTAGCATAGGATTTAGGTTGCTGCTCCTTCAGTTCCTTATACCACTCTGGCACACCATGGATCTTAAAACAAGTAGCTATAGTGTGTCCACGCATACCACATTTGTCACACAGTAGCTTTGCTTTTTCTTCTTTACTCAACCTAACACTACCTCTACCCCTCCCTCCTTGCCAGTTACCACCTCTTCCACCAAATCCTCTA